TCTGGGAATCTTAAAAGTTGCTCAGATTGAGAAACACTGGCATAATGGATTTATGTGTCGACTCTTTTTGTATGTCTTTCCTGCTCTCATTTTGTTATGTATCTACTGCATTTTTCACTCCATAAGACATGCTCCCCCCCCCCACAAAGTGGGTGGAAATATCTGTGCGTCTTATGGAGCAAAAAATACAGGCAGTGGTGGCGGCAGGGTCCTTTTACAGTGCTGAATCCCGCCTCTTCTGTCTTTGTCAATGCCCATTTTCCTCCTCTAAACCTAGGCGCGTCTTGTGGCCAGGTGCGTCTTATAGTGCGAAAAAATATGGTACCTATATTTATGTGCGAGCACTGGGAAACAGAGACTAGGTTGCACATGCTCTGAGTCACATGACAGGAAGGAGGCAGGGCAGGGGCTTAAAATGGAGGGTTGGTCAGTAGCATTCCAAATTTTTTCCCCAAAGGTTTCTCTTATGGGATGAATTGGGGGGATTCTTCTGGAATATTTTTCTGCACAGCATCAAGCCAGATCTGCCCTTGCTTTTTCTTTTGCCAGCTTCTCCCACCATTGCATGTAGTCCTTGACTTACAACCAAAAATTACAAGGCACTACTTAAGACACAGATGGGAAGTTCTGATGGTTGCCCCCGGTCATGTGGTCATATGACCGGATTTGGGCACTTGGGAGCTAGCTGACATTTATTCACATGACCATGATTTACTAAGTTTTTCTGCTGGAAACCAGTGTTTACATCTGATTTCTGGTTAAAAAAAAAACCCACCTGTTGCAGACCCCATAGCATTCGCGTAACAATTGCAATGATTCACTTAACAAACACTGCCAAAAAGGTTGCAAAATAGGGTGCGGTGACCTGCTTAACAACTGGCATGACTTGCCCACTGTAATTCTGGGCTCAATTACGGTCGTAAGTTGAGGAATATCTGCATGAGCTTTTCAGGATATGGCGAGTTACGCTGCTGATAGACACCTAGATGGACAGAAAGACAGACTTCTTGAACCCCTTTATGTAATTTCTTTCCAACTTTCAGTTGGGGTGGGAAAGGTATGTCATAATTTTTGAGCTATATTTTTCATAGAAAAACTATTCCTTAAGAGTTGGGAAAACTCTTGAGCTATGTGCCCTGTTGCAAGGGAGGAAAAGCAGTTGGAAGAACTTGCTAATTTCACTCAGGCGGAATAGAGCTGAAGGTCTTCTGGTCTAACTCCTATGCCCTATACCAGTGGTCCCCAACCTTTTTTGTACCAGGGACCAGTTTCAAGCAGAAACACTTTTTCAAGGACCGGCGGCGGGGGAGGGGGGGGAGAGATTCTATTTTCCATTCCCAAAACTTTATGTTTACCCTACAACTAGCATTAAAGACACCTGACTGCAGTCTCTCTAGTTCTAGGTCTTGCCCAGCTGTGTAGCTACAAAATTTCATGCAGATGTTTCTCTTATCTCTGTTTGGTGAAAACAGGAATTGAATGAGGAGCATTTAGTCAGTGTGTTTTCCCTAGGAAGCTCCTGTAGTCCTTGTTTAGGGATCATTCAGAGCTACGATGGACCTCTAACATCCAGCCCAGGAAGAAACTGCTTCAAAGAAGCCGGGGGGTGGTGGCTTTTCCTGTCGCCGCACCTCCTCCGAAGCGCCCGTTCACCCCCGCCCGCCCCCGCGCGGTTCAATCCAGTGCTCCGTTTTGCCTGCCTGCCTGCCTTTCTGGTTGTTTGGGAGCAGCTTCGGCTGATAAAAAGAGGCGAATAGTTATTCTTCTCAGCCGAAGCTGCTCCGAATCAACCAGAAACGAAGGCAGGCAGGCAGGCAGAACGGAGCACTGGATTGAACCGCGGGCGGCGGGGCGGGGTGGGGGTGAACGGGCGCTTCGGAGGAGCTGCGGCGACAGGAAAAGCCACCACCCCCCGGCTTCTTTGAAGCAGTTTCTTCCTGGGCTGGTGGAGGAGCGAGAGAGCGACTGAGAGAGGAACGAGGCAGGAGGAAACCGAAGCCACTGAGCCGGAGAGCAGGACAGGCTTTGGTTGCTTCCTCCTTCCCCTTCTTTCATTTGTGTCCTTGATCCCTGATCCCAGCAGCATTCACCGAAGGCGAAGAAAGCTGCCATTTTTTTATTTTTTTTATTTGCGGCCCGGTACAGAGTGCTCCACGGACCGGGACCGGTCCGCGGCTCGGTGGTTGGGGACCCCTGCCCTATACCATTTCAGGCAAATGGCTGCCCACTTTTTAAAAACCTACAGTGATGAAGCACCCACCTCTTCTGAAGACAAGCTGTTTCACTGATTAATTTTCCCCACTGTTAGGAAGTTTCTCCTTAATTCCAGGTTGCCTCTCTCTTTGATTAGTTTCCATCCATTGTTTCTTGTCCTGCCTTTTATGTACTTTAATGGGAAAAGCTTCGTGGCATTCACTGCTTTAAGACAACCATATGTGAAACAGGAAACAGTGAAAAATTTATTAAACAAACAAGAGGTTTTGCGGGATTTAGCCAGAATCAGTGTTGTTGTTTTTTCTTTGGAACTTTTGTCAGCATCTATAGTTTAAAGTAATAATAATAATTTATTAAATCTATCTGACCCCCTCCCCCAACACCTAGCACCTCCAAGCAATTTTAAAGTAATTAAAAAGTAATTAAACTTTAAAGTAATTAAAATTATGGGAGTAATTTTATTTTATTTTTTAAAACCGACTGGGCGGTTTTACTTTAATTCTAAAGTAATTAAAATTATGAAAGTAATTTTTAAAATTGAATTCTAGCCCAAGTAAATACTTACACAACTATTCGTTGCATGTCTCATGCTGAAATTAAGTTCTGCATAACTGCATATAATTGCCCTCTACTTTATCTTAGATTAACAGCACAGAAAATGTAGCTGACTGTGACATTGCACTGGTTTATATAATAAATGAATATCTTGGGGAACGTATTGGTAAAATATCCTATCATTTAATTAGGAAACAGATAAATATGGTGTTTTAAGAACAAAGCCCTGCCACTTTGTTTGGGATTACACTTGATTACCAGAATGAGGCATGTACATGCAAATAAAGAGAGAAGGGCAAAAAAAATCATAGAGTGGTTCATTCGTTTGGGAAATAATACTACAGAGAAAATAGAGATTTCTTCATATTGGATGATTTGGAATCCAGGGAAAGATCTTGTGACATAGTGTAACCTTGTAGCTGATTGTTTGTGGATGTTTTATTTTTAAATTGTCCAGAAGAGCAATTGCAATATTTGTGTGTGTGTGTGTGTGTGTGTGTGTAAAATGTGTGCATTTTGTAGATTTTGTTTAACATGTTTTTTTTTAAAAATGTGGGTAGTTATGGCAATATTGTCTTCTGTTTCACTTAATTGTTTTTAAAAATGATAACACTGTAATGTGTCATTTTTCTGAGGTCATTGACTACATTATAGAAAAACAGCCTGCTGCTCATTAGTAATGTTAGAGGAAGCTCTCAGAAAATCCTGATTCTGAATTTCAGTCAAAATCAAGCTAATAAATAAATAATGAGTAAATATATACTTAAGATGGCACATTTATATAGTATTATAAACTTGCTTTCCCAAACATTTCAACAGAAGTTGTGTTTATATCAGCATGATTTCCTAAGCCAGACAAAAATATTAGTCTTTGTTTTGACATTTATAAAACTATTCTTTTGGATATAGCAAGTTTTGAAATTTGCCCTTTTTGATTGCCAAATTATTCCTGTTCCATAGCAACCCTTTTTATAAAATCAACTTTGGAATAAAAGAGCATTTTTCAAATCTTAGTTTCTAATGGAGAAAGTTAGAAGCCTCACCCCTCTTGAACCAGGGATTCCAGATTGGTTTTTTTAATGAACAGGTTCTGCGTCCTGTAAAAATTTAAAACCCCTTGATTTAAAGTGCTGCAGCAAAGAATAAAATCTATGCATTTAAAACACTAATACCTTTTCCTCTATTCTGCTTTTGGCTTTCTTGAATAGTTCAGGGTTCTCAAGTGATTACCCGAACCAAGCACTTTACAAGACTTTATGATATCTATCCTCTTTTTGCTTGTTACTTTAGCTGGCAGAGAATTTAATCAGCATGACTTAAAACAAATTGGAAAGGAAAAATTAACTGTTCCAGGACTTCACCTTAACATTTACAAATCAGAAAAAATGTATGCTTCTCTATCTAGTAGCTGATAATTTTAAAACCTTATATGCTGAAGAGATCACAGAATGAGAGAAGTTATCCTTTAAGCAAAATGCAAACTTACTATAAAGACATCAAGACACATAGTTTATTTAAAAGGTCTGCTTTATTTTTATAACCAGAAAACTGACTTCTTAAGGTTAGTTTTGTGTAATGAGACAAGTTACATTTATATAGCTCTTTATTGTCTATTTATGTCCATACTCACAGTTGGAAAAAAGCCTGCTGGAAATTTGGAGAGACTGGCTTTTCATCTGCGTAATTTGAGTTTATATTGTCACATATATTATATGTTTTACTTGTAGTTTGAAGAGCCTAGAATGCTGTGAAAGAGATAGATTCAAGGTCAGTTTAGAAAAAAAAGAAACTGAAAATAAAACATTCAAGATTTTAATGCTAATCTTAAAACAATGGTGTACTGGAAAATTATGTATATTATACATATAAAATTATGTATATATTATATATATATGTTCATGGATATCAGAAAAAAATCTATAGAAAATTAACTTAAAGAATCAGGGAGTTGATGCAGTTTTTCCATATGGAAATGCCATAACTCTTCAAGGATATTACACAGATTTTTATTCATTGAGTAAAGACAATAATAAGAAGCTTTCTCCATATTTTATATTACCTGTACTAAACATCATCCAATAAAGCTAATTGGCAGGAAAATCAAGACAGGTAAAATATTGTATTAATTTATACAGCACATTATTGAATCATAATGAATGGGCTAAGTGAGTTTTTTTTCTCCCTTTGTCTGTTTCTTAATACAAATTGACATATTTATTTGTTTCCCACAGTTTGCAATTTTATGTCTCATGAGAAGTGCCTGAAGTATGTGAAGATACCTTGCTCATCTATCGCTCCAAGTCTTGTAAGGGTAAGTTCCTCATGCTTTGGGAAAAGCTAAATATCTAGTGTGGTGTAACTGGACGTCTGGTGCATAGGAGATTTGGGTTCTAGTCTATCATCAGCCACAGAAGCTGACTTGGTGACTTTGAGTCATTCACTTTGTCCAGTGCAACTTATTTCATAGGGTTGCTGTTGTGGAAATAGGGAGTGGAGGTGCCGTATTTCCTGGGCTCACACAAACCTGCCCCGCATAATTAATAAACATATCCGAGAAGACATAAATAAACATATCTGAGAAGAGACACATTTTGTTTAAGATCTTGCTGATAAATGATGTATAAGGATCCACATGCTCTGTATCACATTTTGCCCTTTGACTCTTGATATCTGCTCTGCCACACTATCCAATTCATCTCATATAATTCTTATGAAAAAAACATTTCCTTTTCACTTCTCTTTGGATGTCATGTTAACAAAAACAATAATAAATGTTCCTTTGATTATCATGACATGTTTATGTAGAGGACAATCACTGCATTGCATTTACCCCTCCCTAATTGGATCAACTGGATGGTTTATGCTCTATGACAGGGGTCCCCAACCACCGGTCCGCGGACCGGTACCGGTCCGTGGAACAAATCCTACCGGGCCGCTGGTTTGCTGGGCACCGCCATCTTGTTTTGATGAAAAAGTGCTTCCGGTGAGCTTTTCCGGGTAAAAAGCTCACCGGAAGCACTTTTTCATCAAAACAAGATGGCGGCGCCCAGCTGATGCCGGTACCGGGCCGCGGCATAAAAAAGGTTGGGGACCACTGCTCTATGAGACCCAATACATACAAAAATTGGCAACATGCTATGTTAATGAATACGATCAGTGTTATATAAGGGGGAATAAACAGTTATATAAATAAACAAATAAACAGTATCCTGCAAAAGTATATCCATTTAAGGTTATTATTTTCAATATTTTCTATGCCTGAAAATATTCCTTCTATTTTTAATGTAAAGATACTGGTACAGTAGTTTTATTTACTAGAACTCTAATTAATGTTAATAGAAAATTTACTTTCTGATATATAAATGTAATCAAAGTATCCACATTTATCCAGAATTATATTCATAATTTTGCTAATTCTGGGATTTTAGAAGTACCGTACTTGCAAGTCATTGTGGGCCATGATGATCAAAATAAAAATGGAGAGAAATGTTTTGGTATATATGTATAGAGACTGGCCAAGTACTATTCTAGTACCTAAACCCAAGCCAAAGTTGGCATCTTTTCTTTTTGTGTTGCATAATATATGAAATCATGTTTTATGCATTAGTGTTGTGTGGGAACTAGATTATAGGGGCAAACTGTGAAAAACAGTGTCTTTAAAAAATACTGATTTATTGTTGCGGGGAATTCATCCCTGATATGAGGTAAGTTAATGTCAAATTGACATACCCATATATACAAGAATACAAGCCAATCATTCAGTTTATGTAATTGCTATTTACTATACTACTTTTTATGGGGATTTTCGTTGAATAGTTATTGGTGGTGGCCATTCCATTCTTGTTATAACCAAATCAAGAATGGGTCGGAGATCCCAATTTACTTTCCTGTCTGGTGGCAAAGGTTGAAGAAAATCTTTAGATGATAAAACGGTGTCACTAGAATGAATACAGGTGGTCCTTTTATTTTGATTATTGTGCTACTTATAAGCTATGTTTTTATTTCAGGATGCGGTATCTCCCCCTCCCAATCTCCCAGTAACTGATATAAGAGAAAAATAGATTGATAAAACATTGAGATGGTAGTAGATGTGATGTGGATATAGAAGGCCACAGGTTTAATCTGTGACATTTTGAAGGTTTTGGACTCTCCAGCACTAGAAGATATCATGAAATGTCTCAGCTACTTCTGTTTATTAAAACGAATCTACTCCAATTCAACTTTAATTCCTAATGACTTCATGGATATCTTGGCCACAGTAAGTGGCTTGTTATTACCTTCTTCGGAGATGTTTCTCAACTGCTCTATTTTAGTACCCATTCAAATACTATCCAGATTTAATGCTTTCCAAGCCAAGATGTGGTCCCTATTAATTACATTTTCCTAATGAAGTATCTTATTTGGAAGAGACGAGCTGTGGATTAGCTGCATGAAGCAAATATTCAACTTGGTTCTTAATACTTAAAATATTAAGATATTAATACAGAAAGCTTAATGGCAATTTATTTTGTGGGTGAAAAATGTTTATTTATATACTCTAATCTCATTCCAGATTATATAAAGTGACTATTTTTGGAAGCTGTGGCACATGAAGAGTGTTAAATACATTTTTCCTGGTGGATTCTTAGACCACATTAATATTGCAAATCATAAATTGCATTTTTAAATTATAATTTCAAGGTTGATGAAAATCTGGCAATGGATCAATTTCAACTAAAATTTTAGCTCCATGTTAATTGAAACTGGACCATCTCTCTATCTTACTGAACATGTCTCTCTGAATGGAATTCAAGGTCAAATGAAGTCTTGTGAACTCAGATGGTTGGCATGAATAAGATAAGTTTTGTGTCAACAACTTTCAGAGAATTATGGAGTTAGCATACTATGACTAATCTTTGTTGCTTGGACTTAGTTACAAGCTGGCTCTAACTCATGATGTTTAAGAAGCTTTTTGTGAGCAGCTTGTATTGGTAAGTTTCAGTGGCTATTTTTGTGTATAAGTATGCATATGATTCTTCTTGGGAATTCCTTCTCAAGTAATGTTGAATTCAGAAGTCAGTTCATGACTTTGTGATATTGTTACACCACGGCTGCTTTAAAACAACTTGTATTGTAGATTCACTGCCCTTCTTCAGTATTTTCAGTGCTGCAGAACACCTTTCCTCCTCCTTGGTAATTATTTAATTGCTCTAACACAATTGGATGAGTGCTGCTTCTCCACGTGTTTAATATTTATTGTGAAGAAGGTAAATTAATGGAAGGATACCATTTTTGTTTGTTTATCATTATTCTTAAATGGATATAAATGGATTGCTTTTAGAATGCTGCAAAACACTCTAATAAACTACAGCATTTAAACAGAACCTTTGAACCTGAAAAGGTCTATGTGGATTGAAGTGAACACAGCAGTTGAATAAGCTCTGATTGAAATATCACAAGACATTCTGGATATTTTGATATGCAGAATATCTTGAAGTGAGAAAGCTCATTTTTGTGTGGATCAGTTGTTTAAGCAGACTGTTGACTGTACCTACCGGTATATCCCCAATTGCCCCTTGGTAGCTTTGATCCCTGGAGCGGATGAGACTTATATTTTCAGTCCATTTTTATTGTTTCAAGGGAAGGGGTTAAGATTTCCCTTTTCAATTCCTGATTGGTTTTTCAGATTAGAATGCATTTGGGAAAGAAATCTCTACTACTTCCTTTAGAAGTTACTATTGCTGTTTGAACCTGAAGCAGCAGCCTCATTGATCTCCATATTAAATGTTCAGATGACTTCTTAAACAAACATATATTTGTTTCATATTTTTAAGATCAGCTTTGGCCCTGAGCTTGAATGTAACTGACTAATTCCTGATTTATCCAATTGTAGCCAGTGTCTTGCAAAGTCCTGATTTTGAGTTTTCAGAATAATGTCAAAAAACTGAACTTGAGACAGACTTCTCCCATTCACGTTTTTAAAGCCTGCGGTTGAATTCTGCCATTGTATCTTTGTGTTTTCAATATCATTATTAGTTCCTTCTAAACAAAACTTCCAAATAAAATCAGAAATGACCCAGCTGTTCTTCTGCACTTCGTTCAAGACTAAGGAAATAGGCTTTGAGAAAGTTGACACATGTTCAACTTTTTTTTTGTTACCCTAATGTTGAAAAACTTTGACTATGGCTGCTCCCTCTATTTTTCAGAAACTAGATTATCTTTGTTTTTGATAAACTGTTCAAGGCAGTCCATTAATTAGATCCTGTGGGAGAGTTAAATTGGTTTCAAATCCTGCATTCAGCTGTTTTCTTCCTCTTTAGAGGGACAAGGAATGAGGGCTTAATTGTTAATGTGTATGCCATCCATAGAGTGATAGAACTCTTTTTATAGTATGCTAAGGTATGGTTTAAAATTTTAAAACCATGCACATATGTATTTGTATGCGTGTGCGCGCAGTGTATGTCTTTGCATTACATATGCCAACAACTATGCAACTATTTAATGTGTTACATAACTAGAATATTTTTGTGTTCAGTTATTTATGCAAATAGAATATTCTATGCTAATACTTAAGGCCATGTTTCTCAGCCTTTATCTACAACTTTGACCTGTATCTAGCATTGCTACCTGGGGAATTCTGGGAATTGAATTCTATATATTTTAAACTTGCTAAGGTAGAGAAACTCCCTTGCGGAATCTGCTCTGGTTTCCTGTACTATATGATTTAAGGGTCCACAATGTAAGTTTATGCTGATTTGTATACAGTTTCCATGAGCTATTATTCAAGGAATGCTCATATAACTGAAGGAGCAGAAGGCCAGTTTGAAAAAAAAAATATCAAAGTCTTTGGCTAAAGCCTAAGACCTTGGATAATAATGTTCATAAAGTTTGTTAGCATTTTTTTTCCAAATATGAGAGGGAAGTATAATCATTTGTTACTCTTATTTAGAGTAAGAAGAGCTGTTTTAATTTCTTGAATGGGCAATTCCTTTCTTTGCGCCATCTATGCTGGTATTCAGTACAGGTAGTGGTCAACTTACAAGAGTTCATTTAGTGACCATTCAAAGTTACAACGGCACTGAAAAAAGTGACGTATGACCATTTTTCACACTTACAAGCATCCCGATGGTCATAATCATCAAAATTTAGATGCTTGGCAACTGACTCAATTTATGACGGTTGCAGTATCCCGGGGTCATGTGGTTCCTTTTTACAAACTTCTGACAGACAAAGTCAATGGGAAAGCTAGATTCATTTAACAACAGTGGCAAGAAAAGTTATAAAATGGGGCAAACTCACTTAACAAATGCTTCACTTAGCAACAAATTTTTT